GGTTTTTTTCGAGCTATATGGCCATGTTCTAGAGGCATTTTAGAGGAAACAACCAGGCACATTTTAACACCTCTCAACAAAAGATTCCCCCAGGCTCACCCAGGCCTTCAAATGCTAATTAAGGTGGTCAGTTGAAACATTCACACCTAGCTCCAGCAGAGAAGAGCTCTTTGCCCCACCCCAGTCATTCCACAGAGATATAAACCCATTTTCCTAGTTCCAACAGACCTCACTACCTCTGAGGATGCTTGCCATAGATGCAGGCGAAACGTCAGGAGAGAATGCCTCTAGAACATGGCCATATAGCCCAAAAAACCCCACAAGAACCTAGTGATTCCAGCCATGAAAGCCTTCAACAATACATCTCCGTAGTCTTTATTAATATTAGTTATATTATTATTATTATTATTATTATTATTATTATTATTACTGCTGTTGTTATTATTATTATTCCATTTTTTTCTCTCTCAAAAAGGACTCAACACAGAAGGACCAAAAGAATGTGTTGGGTGAAACCTGATAGTGTGGCCTAGTGGCTGAGCAACCCTGAGGAGGAAGGGACATTATTAATATTATTATTATTATTATTATTATTGTCGTTGTTGCTGTTATTAATATTATGATTGTATATATCCTGCTTTTTTCTCCCTTAAAAGAGACTCAAATATCTAAAATGTCATGTTATTAATAAAACAAGGACTAAAGGAATGTGCTGGGTGATACCTGACAGTGTATTATTACCATTGTTGTTGTTATTAATAACATACACACACATAAACGCACACATTCATGTACAGTATATACATATATATCCATGTGGGAGAAAAAAACACTCAAAGCTGCTAACAATGTCATGTTATTAATAAAATGCAATAAAACAAGTATTAAAGGAATATGTTGGGTGATACCTGACAATCTGGGCCAGTGGCAGGGGAATTATTATTTTTACTGTTGTTGTTATCAGTAATAGTAGTAATACTATTTACATCCTGCTTTTTCTCCCTTAAAAGAGATTCAAAGCTGCTAACTATGGCATGTTATTAATAAAACAAGCATTAAAGGAATGTGTTGGGTGATACCCGAGTGTGGCCTTGTGGCTGAGTTCCTGAGGACAGATCATTATTATTACGATTATTATATTATTATTATAATAATAATAAAAATGGAAAAGATGGACTAAAATAATGTGTTGGGTGATACCTGACAGGTATTAATAATATGCTGCTTTTATTACTGTTATTATTATTAATGGGCTGTTATTATCATTATTACTAATAGTAGGCTGCTTTTATTATTACCACTATTATTATTAACAATATCCCGCTATTACTATTACTATGCTGCTTTTATTATTAGTAATATTATTAATACTAACATGTTGCTGTTATTATTATTACTACCAAAAATACGCTGTTTTATTATTACTATTAATAATAACTACAGGCTGTTTTATTATTACTAATAATAATATGCTGCTTTTATTATTAGTATGATTATTGATAATACGCTGCTTTTATAATTATTAACAATATGCTGCTTTATTATTAACAGTATGCTGCTTCTATTATTACTATTGCCATTTTTATTTATTAATATTTTATTACTATTAATAACAATACGCTGCTTTATTATTACTATGATGAATAATATGCTACTGCTTTAACATTATTATTATTACCATGCTTTATTATTACTATTAAGAATATGCCACTGCTTTATTACCATTGCTATTAACAATATGCTGCTATTAATATTTGTTGACATTATTATTACTCTTATTATTTACAATACACTGCTTTATTACCATTATTATTAACAATCTTCTGCTATTAATATTTATTGACATTATTATTGCTCTTATTATTAACAATACGCTGCTTTATTATTATTACTATGATGAATAATATGCTACTGCTTTATTACCATTATTATTATTACTATTATTATTACCATGCTTTATTATTACTATTAAGAATAATATGCCACTGCTTTATTACCATTATTATTAACAATATGCTGGTTTATTATTATTACTATGATGAATAATATGCTACTGCTTTATTACCATTATTATTAACAATCTTCTGTTATTAATATTTATTGACATTATTATTACTCTTATTATTAACAATACGCTGCTTTGTTATTATTACTATGGTGATAATAAGATGCCTTTCAAAGCCACTATAAGAATAATATGCTGCTGTTTTATTACCATTATTATTAATAATATGCTGCTATTTATATTTATTGACATTATTATTACTCTTACTATTAACAATACACTGCTTTATTATTATTACTATGATGAATAATATGCTACTGCTTTATTGCCATTATTATTACTATTATTATTAATTTTTATCATTACTATTAATAACAATACACTGCTTTATTATTACTATTATTAATAACAATATGCTGATTCTATTAATGTTTATTACTCTTATTATTAACAATACGCTGCTTTATTATTATTACTATGTTGAATAATATGCCACTGCTTTACTGCCATTACTATTATTATTACTGTTATTATTACCGTGCTTTATTATTACTATTAAGAATAATATGCCACTGTTTTATTACCATTATTATTAACAATACGCTGCTTTATTATTATTACTATGATGAATAATATGCTACTGCTTTGCCATTATTATTACTACTATTACTATTATTACTATTCTTATTTTTAATATTTTATCATTACTATTTATAACAATACACTGCTTTATTATTACTATAATTAATAACAATATGCTGATTCTATTAATGTTTATTACTCTTATTATTAACAATACACTGCTTTATTATTATTACTGTGATGAATTATATGCTACTGCTTTATTGCCATTGTTATTATCACTACTATTATTATTACTATTATTATTACCATGTTTTATTATTACTATTAAAAACAATATGCCACTGCTTTATTACCATTATTATTAACAATACACTGCTTTATTATTATTACTAGGATGAATAATATGCCACTGCTTTATTAACATTATTATTATTATTATTATTATTATTACCATGCTTTAATTTTACTATTAAGAATATGCCACTGCTTTATTACCATTATTATTATCAATATGCTATTAATATTTATTGACATTATTATTACTCTTAATAACAATACACTGCATTATTATTATTATTATTAACATGCTTTATTATTACTATTAAGAATAATATGCCACTGCTTTCTTACCATTATTATTATTATTACTATTACTATTATTACCATGCTTTATTATTATGATGAATAATATGCCACTGCTTCATTAACATTATTATTACTATTATTACTACCATGCTTTATTATTACTATGATGAATAATATGCCACTGCTTTATTGCCATTATTACTATTATTATTATTACTATTATTATTATTACCATGCTTTATTATTACTATTAAGAATAATATGCCACTGCTTTATTACCATTACTATTATTATTATTACCATCATTATTACCAATATGCTGCTTTATTATTATTACTAGGATGAAAAATATGCTACTGCTTTATTGCCATCATTATTATTACTATCATTATTATTACCATGCTTTATTATTACTATTAAGAATAATATGCCACTGCTTTATTGCCATTATTATTATTATTATTATTATTATTATTATTATTATTACTATCATTATTATTACCATGCTTTATTATTACTATTAAGAATATGCCACTGCTTTATTACCATTATTATTAACAATATGCTGCTTTATTATTATTACTATGATGAATAATATGCCATTGCTTTATTAGCATTATTATTATCAATATGTTGCTATTAATATTTATTGACATCATTATTACTGTTATTATTAACACT